AGGAGGAGGAGGAGGAGGTTTATACAGGCACAAGTTGCTTGGCACTCGCGTCTAGCACGAGCTCGGTGACTTCGAACTTGTGGTCAGGAGTTGAACTCTTGCTGCCGCTCCAGACCTGCGCGGGCTCGTTAACTTGCTACCTCAACATCCATGACAGGCGCCGGTCAAGGGCAGAAGGACAATGAGAGGAAGGAGAAGACGGAGAAGAAGAGAGGAGGGAGGAGAAGAGAGGAGGGAGGAGAAGAGAGGAGGGAGGAGAAGAGAGGAGGGAGGAGAAGAGAGGAGGAGGAGTGAGTGAGTGAGTGAGTGAGTAAGTGAGTGAGTGAGAGAGGTCACGGAGGAGAGGAGGCAAAAGGAAGCAGGAGGAAGAAGAGGTAGTGGTGGTGGTGCTGGTGGTGGTGGAGGACCAGGAGGAGGAGGAGGAGGAGGAGGTGGAGGAGGAGGAGAACGAGGGGCAGCAGATACAGATCTCTTTCTTTCCCTCCCTCACCTTCCTTGCGATCCATGACGATACTGCCTGCATCTTCTCATGGTGCGCCGCTCGCGCGTAGTCCTCCCACATGCTGGCAACGGCCTTCTCGAAGACGGTGATGAAGTCGTAGCAGTAGGTAGTCTCCTTCCCCTTCGCCATCAGCCGCCGAAGCTCGAGCTGCGGGAAGAAGGTGAGAGGAGGAGCAATCGAGGAGGAGAGGTGCACAGCCGATGCAGTGGAGGATAGGGGGAGGGATGGGACAAGAGGAGAGGAGAGGAAAAGAGAGGAGGGTAATTAGTGATCAAGATATAGAACCAGTGATTGTGATAGCGAGACGACGACGAGGAGGAGGATCAGGAGGAGGAGCAGGAGCAGGAGCAGGAAGAGGAGGAGGAGGAGGAGGAGCAGGAAGAGGAGGAGGAGGAGGAGGAGGAGGAGGAGGAGGAGGAGGAGGAGGAGGAGGAGGAGGAGGAGGAGGAGGAGGAGGAGGAGGAGGAAGAGCAGCAGCAGCAGCAGCAGCAGCAGCAGCAGCAGCAGCAGCAGCAGCAGGTCTCACCTGGTCTATAGGAGGGTAGGGAGTAGACAGCTGCTTTCCATCCAGAGGTCCCCCGGCCGGTCGCCCGTCCACCGGCACAGACTTGAAGATGTAGTTGCTGATCCCGATCTCCTGGGAGGACGAGAACACTTCCAGGTACGCGTTCGTCTGCACCTTGTGCCCCGAGGGGTTCACAAGGACGACCCGCAGCCTCGTCGGTTGCATGCCCGGCCCCTCCTGCCCTCCTGCCCCTCCTCCTCCTGCCCCTCCTCCTCTCATGTGCCCCTGTGCGCTGTGCTCCTGTTCCATCAAGGTCAAGGTCACCTCAACCTCGATGACCCCAACTTGTCGCAGGCGGCGGAAGTGACGGTCGGCAACCTCCTGGAGGACCGCGATGGCCTCGTGGCGGGAGAGGAGGAGGTGAGGGAGGACGGCGAGGAACATGTGGTTGCACATTTGCAGCGTGCCGAAACGGTTGTACGCTACCTCCTTCCCTGTGCTCCTTTCGATGTAGCCCTTGGACAGCGCGAGGCTCTCGCAGCTCTCCTGGATCATCTGCTCCAGGTCGTGACGGAGGAACGCGATGCTGTCCTCCGCGTCCGCCATCACCCGGCCCAGCACCATGGAGCGGACGAAGAAGCGCTTCATGTCGGTCCTTGAGCTCTCCCCGTTCTTCTTCTGAGTGGCGATGTAGATCCGGATGTGCCGGTTCGAGACGGGCCCGTCAAGGACGTGGTCCACGTCATAGTTGACGCTCAGCCTGCCGATCTCGATGATGAAGGCCCGGGGGGGGTTCAGGTGCCGGTAGATCAGATCCTCCTGGTAGTCGAGCCGGTCCCTGAACGTGTGGAAGGCGGGGTACCCCCCGTCCGGCCGGAGGATGATAAGGGTGACGCGGGAGATCTTGAGGGAGAGGAGGAGGATCTTGTGGTTCTGGATAAGCAGGGCCACCCGCTCCTGGATCTGCTCATCCTTGCAGGACCTGGTGGACGTGCACAGGATCAGGTTGAGCACGTGGACGGGGTCGTTGAAGTCGATCCCGTTGTCGCTCTGCGTCGAGTCCGGCCCGTCGTCGGAGAGGAACGTCTTGGAGGGGGAGGGGGAGCAGCGCAGGGTGTCGAGACCCTCCTGGCTGCACTCCTCGGGCCTGAACTTGGCCTTGAGGACCTCGAAGAACCGGGCCTCGAGCTCAGTCAGGGAGTAGAAGATCGTGTAGAGGGTGTAGCGGCGGGGATAGTCGGGCTCCGGCAGGGCGTCCGCGTTCCCTCCCCGCTGCCACTTGTTCTTGAACTCTTGCATATCCATGATTGAGTCGCTGAAGCTTCCTCCTGCGAACTTCTGGTCGTGGCCATACTTGGCCCTCCTCCTCGAGCTCTGCGCGGGCTCCTGCGAGCTGGGGCTCTTCTCTCCCCTCCTCGACATGTCCTCGTCCGAGTGGCTGTTGGCCAGCACGCAGCGGTTGCTCGAGCTCGACAGCCATGACTGCCGTTGGAACCACATCTCAGCGCACATCACCTCCTTGCCCGCCGTCGCCGCCTCCTCGAAGATGCAGAGGGACGCGATGGTGTACTGCCTGTGGGAGCGGCGGATGAAGAGCTCCAGCGCCGCCATGCGGATCTCCCGCGGGTACTGAGTGCCAATGAAGGCCGACAGCTCCTCGAAGAGTGACGTCACCGACTCGACCATGGGGGAGAGGTAGTGCCCGAAGCTCTTGTAGCCCTTGACCAGGTCCGTGTCGTTGCTCTTGCCCCACTCCTGCACTATCTGCACCAGCTGCTGCTCCATCACCTCGTGCCTGATCTCGATCGAGGGCGTCACGATCTGCACCAGCAGCTGCCGGGCCTCGAGCGCAACCTTTGAGTACGGCTGACCCCTCAGCTCCTCGAGGTCCCTCAGCACGCGCATGCACTGAGCGTTGGAGGTAGAGAAGCTCGTCCTCACCAGGCTCTCGTCCTTGCGCAGGCTCGACGGCTCTTCCACTCTACCCTCCAGGCTGCACGGGAACGTCGACAAGAAGCTGCGGTCCTCTTTGAGCCAGAACAGCAGCTCCGAGATGAAGGCGCTCTTTGCCTTCACCCCCTCGTTCGACAGGAGCGCCTCGTACACGCGCTCGCACGCAAGCTGCCGCTGCTGCCGGGCCTCGAGTCCCTGCTCCGACTTCGCCTCGATCGTCGCCGCCTTGAGCATCTTCATGATCACCTCCTCTCTTGCATCCAGCATCCCGCTGAAGTTCCCCTCCACCGCCAGGTACTTATGGAGAAAGGGGCTCAGCGTCTGCCACACAAAGAACCCGTGCCCCGAGGCATGGCTCTGGAGGACCTGGATCAGCATCTGGAGCCGCGTGTCGGACTCGTAGGGGGCAAGCTTGTCCAGCAGGAGCCGGGAGCAAGACGCCACGTCAGATTGCAGCGTCATGCTCCCCAGCTTCTGCTGCAGGCCTGCGTCTGCTGAGGAGGAGCCTGCTCCAAAGCCCGACAAGTCCTGTTCGCTGTTGTGGTAGAGGGGAGGAGCGGAGTGGTCGGAGGCGACCGGAAGCATGTCGGGGGACTGGATCTTGGGGTTGACCTCGGAGCTGATGATGTCCTCCATCTCATCGATCACGTGCTTCGGCAGCGCTGCCTTGACCGTGTTGAACGCCTCCTGGATCTGATAGTAAGGGAGATTCGGGTCGTGGAGGGCGCTGGAGATCTGAGCCATGACAGCGGCATGAAGGTCACCCTCCTTCATCGCAGGGTCAGTGTAGCCTGCCATGATCGCCTCTGCCCGCTGCAGCGCTTCCCGCAGCTTCTTGTGGCAGCGGCGCCCGGGAAGGTGAGGAGGGAGGAAGGGAGGGAACGAGCCCTTGAACAGCTCTGCTGTGGTGACCCCTTCCTTGTCGTCAAGGTCTAGCACGGCGATCACGTCTCCAGCCTTCACGTACGACTCTGCATTGGCCACATGCTTCAGAACTCCTGCATGCGTCGCTGAGAGCTGCATGTACATCTTCATGACCTCCATCTCCGCAAACGCCATCCCGGGCTCCACCCTGCGGCCGTCCTCTACCAGGAAGCGGACCAGTTTCCCGGTCGTGCTGGCTCGGAGCTTCGACGGGTCGTTCTCCTTTTCGAAGACGACGGTCTTGTTATCGATCTCCAAACGCAGACCCGTGTTGTCCTCGTCCGTGAAGACCGTGCTCGTCTTGCCGTTGGCGAAAATGAGCAGCCGACCGTCGCTCAGGGGACGTGCGTCGGCGTACACGATGCTGTCGTTGAGCTTCACGGCGAACATGTTGGGGCCAGTGCAAGTCACGACCAGGCAGAACTTGGTGGAGTCCAGGATGAGCTCGATCGGGAAGGTCGTGCAGAGCAGGGAGGGTGGGGGGATCCTGCCGTAGTCGAGCGCTGTGATGGCCTCAGTCCTCAGCTGCTTCAGAGCTGCCAGCGCTTTCACAACAGCTCCGAAGACGATGGCGAGGAACCGCTCGGGCCCGTCCGGCTCCTTGGTGTTGATCATCTTGGTGGCGATCAGGCCGTCGAGCCACTGGGTGTCGATCCTGTTCTCCTTGTAGTCCTCCAGCTCCAGCATCTTGATCAGGTACTGCACTGTAGTGCGGATGGCTCCGTAGATCGTCAGGTCCTGCAGCGCAATGACGAGGTGCTTGCGCGCAGACTCCCTGGTGCTCCCGGAGGAGAAAATGTGCCCGAACTGCGAGTCGGCGAACTCGTGCACGGCCCCTCTACCGAACACTGAGAAGTAGCCCCACACCTGCGGGCTGACCCGGAAGTTCAGCTCCTGTATGGAGCCACTAGTGGGCCTGAAGCCAGCATCCGGATTCTCCGCCGTGATCCTAGCGGCGATCACGTGCCTCTTTGGGGGGTTCCTGTGACTGATATCAAGGTCGATGCAAGAGGTTCCGTGCCTGTCCGGCGCGTTGTAGAGCGTGCGGACGTCAGGGATGCGGTGCAGAGGGATGCCCATCCCAACCAGCAGCATGGCTAGCGGCAGGTTGATGTCGTTGATCATCTCAGTGACTGTGTGCTCGACCTGGAGGCGAGGGTTCATCTCCAGGAAGAAGAACTGGCCGTCTCTGTACAGGTACTCCACGGTCCCCACCCCGACATACCCCACAGCCTTGGCCAGCGACGCTGCCGCTCTCTCCATCTCCATGAAGGCGTTGGGGTCTGCTGCTACGGGAGGGCCCTCCTCGATAATCTTCTGGTGCCGCCGCTGGATAGAGCAGTCTCTTCCGTGCAGTGTAATGACTTCACCATGCTGATCCGCCAGGACCTGAACTTCGATGTGCCTCCCACCGGAGAAGAGACGCATGAGAAAGATCGGAGAGCCGACGACCTCTGCTTGCACCTGTAAGAACGCGTCCTTGATCTCCTCCCTCGACGTGACTTTCCGAATCCCCTTCCCTCCTCCGCCCTCCGAAGCTTTCACCATCAGCGGGTAGCCGACCTTCTCTCCCATTTCCAGCGCTTCCTCCACATTGTGAACGCAGGCTCGATCGTAGATCTCAGCAGGCACATCCGATTCTCCCATGGCCAGAAGCGAAGCCATGTTGAGGCCAGTCCCGCTCCACTCTATACAAGGTACGCCAGCCGACTGAGCGACAATGGTGGAGCCTATCTTGTCTCCGAGCGCGTACATGGCCTTGGCACCGGGCCCGAGGAACACAACGCCTCTCTTGTCCTTTGCCAGGCTGCCAGGAAGGCGAGGGTTCTCCGAGGCATGCCCCCAGCCCGCCCACACTGCGTCGACCTCCTTTCGTTGTGCAATGTCGACGATGAGGTCAACGTTGGCATAGTTGTTGTTGTTCGAACCCTTGGGCACCTCAACAATTTCATCTGCCATCCGTATGAATTCAGCATTCGCTGCGAGATCTTCCGGCGTTGCCATGCACACAAAGCACAAGGCGTCCCCGATACCGAGCTCGGCATACTGCCATTTTCTCAAGGACTGCATGCATTTGACTGCAGCAATGCCATTGTTTGCTATGAGAATTCTAGATATAATCTTGTTCCCTCCATGCCACTCCACATACTCTTGCAAAGAGGACCAGTCCTTGGTGCTACTATCCAGCACCTCAAGCGTCGATGCAGATACGTTCCTTGGCAAGACCATTATGAAGTGGAGCCAAGGCGATCAGGAAGCAAAGGGAGTGCGAGCAGTGGATATGACTGAGAGGCACCAGGGGCTTCAGAGAGGATGAGCGAGGACGCACATCACGCCGGCCCACACATGCTCACCCTGCCCCGCATGCTGCATGCTCCCTGCACCGTCAGTGAAATGGATGAAAACCATGGGGTAGGGGCTGTAAAGCAGGGGGTGGGGGTGTACAAATGATTGTAAAAAGACTCTGAGATGGGGTTATTCCCGACTATGATAAAACGTGGAATACAGGGTGGGTATTGAGATGGGGGGGTGAAGGGTCCAATGATGGGGGTGCTGAGACGAAAGCTGCACAATGAGATAGACGGTCATTGGTAGAGAAGAGTGGGGGTGGTGTAGGTAAAACTAGGGGTGGGGTACAATTTCCTTTTGATGGAGGGGTACTGAATGTTACACGTAGGGGTAGGGTAGTGGAGGAGGGATCGGAGATATAAAGCAAAAGTGTAAAAGATAAAAAGAAACAATAGGCAGTGAATACTGACCAGCAAATACAAGGGAACTTCCCCATTAGTATCTACTGCCTCGCAAAAAAGAAAAAAACTACTAAGTTTGGTTTTCGGAAAAAATCGGAACGAACTCCTTTCAGGGCCGCGGCCCGCGAACGCATTCAAGTGAGTGATGATTCCACTGCTACTCCGAGCGGCAAGTGGCGGCCAGTGAGTGATCCGCTGGCAAACCTCTTACTACTACTGAGCCCAGGCTACCATCACGGTTTCAAAGTTTGGCCTGTCGGCCGTGCCGTGCTACCGTACGGTAGCCTAGTACTGCCGACGGCGCGGCCCGGCCGCGGCGGCCGCAGTGAGCCGCAATGCGCGGCGGCGGCGGCGGCACCTTTGACTTCAGTTCGGAACGGCTGAATGTAACATATTATTTCTCAGTTTGTCAATCGTTTGCCGCCAGGCGGCACTGACACTTGACTTGAACTTTCTTGCCACGGTTCCTTCATACTATTTTCCCTCCTGATCGTCTTGGCAGAAAATGATCTTTACTGGCTCTTAATCCTCGCTGATGGCAGCCGCCATGCAGTTCACGTGCTCTTCCATTAGATCTTGGACGCCACCGTATCCGTAGCTGGCAGTAGTTCTGCCATATACTTGATAGTGCTTCAATTGACATAGGCTGACCTTTTTACCAGTCCGAGGAGTGTGAGTAAAGGATGTTTATGTGAATTTCAATGAATAAGATTATCGGAAAGATTGTTTGGGAAAACTCTATTGATTTAACTACCACCTCCACATATCCTCCGCCCTACAATCTCTCACTGATATTAAAGGTAGTATTGTATAGCCAAACATGTACCTTGGGCTTCCGTTCCATGTTTATACCACACTTGCTCCAATCTTGGAATGAATTTCAATCATTTTCACCCCTTGCAACCATCGTCTGTTCCAATCTTTCAACCTCAAACTTATCTTGTTGATGGTCCGTCAGGCACACGTTGAGTTCGACGAAAAAGTTGCCCCACGCGTCAATGGACCGGCAGCTATCAATTCTCCCAGTCGCGTAGAGGGCGTAAGAGTAGAGGCCGCCAGGCTGGACGCAGCCATCGCCAGAGATTGCTGGGGAGTAAGGAGAGCGTTCGATGAAACTAGAACGGCCCCTTGCTGGCTCGTGTGAGGGGCGTCTGTGCGGGGGAGGAGGCGTTTGACAGTCAGCGGTGCATGTCATAGCTAGAGGCGAGGAGAGAAGATGTCGGGGTAGGAGTGCACGGGCTTTGGGACCGATGGAGAGCAGCCAACAACACAGAGGTGAGCGAGTGAAGAGCGGGGGTGCATAAGAAGGCTCGAAGGTTGGGGACGGGGAACCCTCAACGATTCCTCGGACTTCGTCAGCAGGTCACGAGGGCACTCCCTTCGAAACGTTGCTTTCTGAGGCCAAAATTGATGCACCTCCCTCCTTTGGATACGCCACGTACCAAAGATACAAAAATCACGTTACCCTGGTTGACCCTCTTGCATGGCTGGCATCAGGAGAGTACCGTACGGTAGAGAGACCGGCCGCGGGCGTGGCAGGGTCAGCTTTGACCCTGACCGTGGCTGTACCCGGCGGCGGCGGTGGCCGCCGCCGAAGGAGTGAGACGCATATGGGCACTGTAGGTGTCGGTCGGAAGGCTTCGGAATCCAAACAATCATGATACTACTTCGGAGTACCGTGGCTATCATCCGTACTGGCCGTAGCACGGTACCACCCCCCGCTCAGCCTCCGGCTAGTACGGTATGAGCTCGGAGGACAATCAGGAGAGCCGAGGTGGCATTGTCCGACCGTACCGTACTTCGAGTCATTGAGTAAACTGTCCGATACGGCCCGACGGTCGCACCGTACGGTCCCAGGCTTACCGTACTAGCCGCCGGGCTTCCCGGCGGCGAACGGTTCCGTCGGACTCTGGACGTACTACACGGTGACGCCCTTCAGTGGTAGCCTAGTATTCCGACGGCCCGGGCCGTCGCGAGTCGGATGTCCCGGCCGGGCCCGGCCCGGGGACAGCAGACCCGTACGGTCCCGGGTCCGAGACAGACAGTGCACCCGAGTCTGCACTTCTTTACTCAAAGTTAAGTTAAAAAGCATAAGTTGATCCACGGGGCGCAATGGGATTGAGAGGTAGTACCCGAACCAAACGCGTAGAGGAGGAGGAGGAGGAGGGATGATGATGATGATGATGATGATGATGATGACGACGACGACGACGACGATGATGATGATTATGATGATGAGGAGGAGGATGAGGAGCAGGAGCAGGAGCAGGAGAGGGAGAAGAAGCAGGAGCAGGAGCAGGAGCAGGAGAGGGAGAAGAAGCAGGAGCAGGAGCAGGAGCAGGAGAGGGAGAAGAAGCAGGAGCAGGAGCAGGAGCAGGAGAGGGAGGTGGGAGCGGGGGGGAGCGGGGGAGGAGGAGGAGGAGGAGGAG